TCGTTGTTGTGCTTTTCTCCCTGCTCAACCTCTGTCCATGCTTATTTTAAATGAGCATTGACTGGACTGCAGCCTTACCAGAAAAGGGGTGATTTTGCCTCCTTGAAGAACCCTTGTAGCTCTAGTAGCTTAGTAGTTAGGAGTTACACTGCCAACCTAAAGGTGGTTCGAATCCATCAGCTGCTCCACTGGATCAAGACAGGCAGTTACCTCCTGTGGGATTAACTGCCTCTGAAAACCTACTGTAGGGTTAGCTAGGAGTCGGTTCCAGGTTCCAGCTGGGTGGTACACCACCACAACAGCCATCCCTTGAATAACTAATGAATGTGAGAGTGTATTCTACATAGACTGTTCATATATTTCCCTACCAGCCAGAGTTGCTGATGTGTTTCTTCCCAGACCTGGTCTGTGAACATGAGTTTCCATCATTTTCTCTTGTTGTTGTAGCTGTTCTTAATTTTCTTTACATCTTGACTTTGTCTGACATGCCTGCCTTTTGTTATAATGATGTGGATATCTCAAGTAGGGACTGTGAAAATACTGAACATTGGAAAAAAAAATCTTAGAAGTTGCTGTCCCATCAGTTCTGACTCCTAGTGACCCCGTGTGTCCAGATAGAACTGTGTTCTCTATGTTTTCCATTGGCTGGTTTATCACCAGACTTTGTTCCAGTGTGCCTCTGAGGAGTCTCAAACTACCACCATCACAGTCAGTGATTAACTACCTTTTCTGTGGGTACCACCCCAGGACCCCTTAAACTTACCCTCCAAGTTGTAAGCAGCAAAGTATCTTTGAAGTGTAATCTATTTTATCTTATAAATGAATACACTTTGTAATATATCTTTGTACCAACTGAATTTAATTTTACCATTCCCTAAATATACTTAGTATAATTCATTCTTGATTATAACTTGTTGAGCCTTTATTGATTTCAAATCCCACTACTAACACAGTGAGAGTTACCCTAGCTTAAAAAGCAAGGAATTCCTATAATGAACTTGCTAAGAATTGACTCTTGTGTTAGCCCAGCGTGTACAAGCTCACATTTCCACTGACTTCCTTCTTGGCTTCCTGTCTCTCTTTAGTTGCTGATGTAGCCAGAAAGCTCTTGTCAGAGGTAACATATGCACAAACTGGTTCTGTGAGCATCACAGGCTGTTTAGATCAGGCAGAGGGTCCCTTTCAGGAAAAAGAACTGTCGTAGCCTGTCATGCCAAATCCACAAGATGCTCCATCGCAGACACTGTTGTCACTCAAGGTCAAAACATAGGCCCCTCATCTGCCAATCTAAAGGTAGGCAGTTTGAATCCACAAGCTACTCTTGGAACAGAAGTGGCAGTCTTCTCCCACACAGTTTACAGCCTCCAAAGACCCACTGAAGGATCAGCTGTCAGTCGGATCCTACTCAAAGGCAATGATTGTATTTGGAACCAGATTGTACTTCCTTTGGAACGAGTATTGCAAAGCAAATAACAAATGTGTTCTCCTCATGAAAAATTGACAAGTAAACATTAGCCCAATTAAAATGACTGTGAATTACTCAGGCAGTAGCTGTATCCCTTCCCTTTGAAGAGCTCTCCCCCCAAACAACCTGTGTTTTATGCATATATAAAACACAATTTTGAAAAAATCAAAGGATAACTTTTCTTGTGCTTCCAGATCTTTCAGCAGAATCCAGATTCTTTTAAATACATGATTTGGCTACAGGTTAGTAATTCTTGACCCCTATTTATAGATAAAGGGAGCTGTGGTGGGCTAGTGGTAAGGAGTTGGCACTGCCAATGCAAAGGCGTGCGGTTTGAATCTACCAGCTGCCCTGTGGGAAAAAGGTGGACACTCCTCTGTGCGATTAACTGCCTCTGAGAACCTGCTGTCGGGTCAGCTGTGCATTAGTACTACTAATTTCGACGGAACACAACAACAAGCCACAATGTACAGATGAAGGGAACTCTGGTGGAGCAGCCTGTGGAGAGTTGAACTGCCAGCCCAACAGTTATATCTTTCTCTCCAAATGAAGAGATAGGAAGCACAGAGACACTTTCTGTCGATTAAGTGTAGGCATTTTTGTTTGTTCATTGTTTGGCTTTTTATTTTCACATTGAAAAGCTTCCCCCCCCCATTAAAAATAATCACAGTTAACACCCGATTTTGCAGCAAAGGCAATTTTAGATTGAGGGGCAGCACTTACAGCAATGTGGAGAGCTTTCTAGTCAGAATAGCTACAGAAGAGTTGGTGGGAGACCACTGAGTTGGCCAACAGCATGCTAAGGCAGAGGGGCCCGAAAATAAACAGACGCTTTCTGCCTCGGTCATTTTGGCCAAACCCCTTGGGCCTTGATTGCCCATTTAGCCAGTGGCAGCTGTTCTGTGCATGTTCTGTGTGCCAGGCGCCGGGCCAGAGGAGAGGGATGCTTTCTCTACCGTCCAGGGTGATGAATGTCCTTGTCCTGTGCCCTCTGCCCTAACAGCGGTTGTCACCAGCACACCCATAGGACAAGGTGCTTTGCCGGAAGCTCTGGTGACCTCATCTACATAGAGTGTCACTGCTAATCCAAAGGTCACGCCTCTCTGGCAGTTCAAATCTATCACCCACTCTATGGGAGAAAGATGGCGAATGCCCTTCTGGGAAAGACAAACCCAGTGGTGGGTCAGCTATAAGTTGATTCTGATTCAGTGAGTTGAATGCATGTAACAGGAAGCATTATAATAGTTGACACTTGGATTCTGATAATCTTCGGCCAAACCAGAACCTGATGCAGGAAACCAAAAGGAAAGAAAGTTCTTGCAGCCACAGTAACCAAAGTGGGCTTCCTGAAGGGGACATTCTCTATGCTGAGGCTTGAAAGCAACACAAAGATTGCTGTCACCATCCAAGTACCTCATCTATAAAAAATGTGCTTGGCCTCTTTTCTTCCTACATCACAGGCATGTTCATAAATTTTTATTGCATTTGGGGGCAGAGTGAATAAATTGAAGGAGTTATTTATAGGGATGATTCTGAGCTCCCTGGCTATGCCTATTCTGAGAACGAAAGTCTAGAAACAATGAAGAGGATGATTGTGAATGTCTTCATTGGGTAATTTTATGAATTACTTAGATCACTGTCTTATGAATGCCAACTCCTGTGTGTTCTATTAGTGTCCTTACCATTCACAGATTAATTAATACGCATGTATTAGCTGCAAGGGTAGAAGTTCTGACATCAGGGTGACCTTAACCTTGCTGACAACATCTCAGAATTCAACATCTCAGAATTCCAGAGAAGGAAGAACCAGAAAAGTTACCCAAAAAGCTTTGTCGACATTGTTTCCTTTGGGTCCAACTTAAGTTGGGAAGGAGTAGATTCTCAAGTAGTTGTGGGTAGTGGGAAAAGACCTTCTGGACAATGACACTTCAGAAAACCAATGTCATTTAACATAAAAGATGTAATCATTTTACTAGAGGTTGCCAAATTTATACCAAGCAGTTAGATGTTAACTATCAAAATCCAAAAGGGACTTTCTTCCCTGAACTCTTGAATTCATTATTATTTTTTGTTGTAGAAGTAAACATTTGTCAAATCGTTTGCCACCTAAGCATTTTTGCTGTCAGCATTTTCATTTTGACTGAGCTGTATTCAGTGACATCGTGTTAACCATGTTGTTCTACCATCACCATTATCCATTTCCCACTTTTCACATCATCTTTAACAGAAGCACAACCATTAATACACTGTCATTGATGTTGTGATGCATAAAGATCCGCCATCAGGCCTCTAAAACTGTAAATCTTTGCAGGAGGAGACTGCCTAACTTTCTTCTACCTGATGGATTTGAACCACCAGCTTTGAATAATTAGCCTGGCATGTTATACTCTTTGCTACCAGGGCTCCTTAAAGTGTCCATAAATTGGACATTTATACTTTATCCTTTCCTTTCACCTATCCCTGATAACCACAAATAAACTTTGCTCCCTACACATTTACCTATTATTGTTGCTGTTGTTGTGTACCATAGAGTTGGAACCAACTCATAGCTGACCCTCCATTGAGTTTTCAGAAGCAGTTAATCTCACGAGAAGAGATTTCCTACCCTTCTCCTATGGAGCAGCTGGTGGCTTTGAACCGCTTGCCTTTAGGATTGTAACTCAGCTATATATTGTTATTGTTGTTGTTGTTATGTGCCATCAACTTGCCTCTGATTCATAGCAACCCTATGCACAATAGCTCTGAACTCTGTCCTGTCCTGAACCAATCTCACTGTCTTCTATATATCTGCCCCTATTGCCCTAGTCACTGTGTCAAAATGTGCATGTGTGCGCGCGCGCGCGCGCGCGCGCGTGTGTGTGTGTGTGTGTGTGTGTGTGTTTACCAATCCTAGATAGAGAGCTCTGGTGGCCTAGTGGCAAGAAGCTGTGCTGCAATCCCAAATGCAAGAGGTTCAAATCCACCAGATGTTCTGCAGGATAACCCATGGCCTCTGAAACACACTAGGGGTCAGCTGTGAGTCAGTTCTGACTCAGTGTCACAACAATGATAGATGATAGATAGAAGATGATAGATAGATAGATAGATAGATAGATAGATAGATAGATAGATAGATAGATGATAGATAGATAGATAATAGAGAGATGATATAAATGGAATCAAACAATACTTGTCACTTTATAACTTATGTTAAGCCTGATGTTTCCCAGGTTCATCCCTGTTACAGCATCTATCAAGATTCAGTTTCTCTTTATGGTGAAATAATATTCCAGCAGACCTAAAATCAAATTAATTGCTTTTTCCTGCAGGCAAGGGTATTAAAAGGATGTTGATTATTTTTGGGAACCCACGTCACATACCTTGTAAACCTATATTTGTGTCTTTTGCTTTTCCTCAGACAAATTTTGGTATTGTCGGCTTTCACCAAATCACAAGGTCCTGCACTACGGAGACTTGGAGGAGAGCCCGCAGGGAGAAGTGCCGCACGACTCGCTGCAGGACAAGTGTAAGGGGGGCTTCTGTGGTGGGAGGGGCCGAGCTCTGCTTGCTTGCTTGTTTTCTGGTCATAAAATATGCAGGAAAAACTGTCAACCCAAATAAACGGCAGTGGGCCGGTCTCATCTTGTTGTGCCAAGTCTCTGCTAGAGCATCCCAGCAAGCCAGAGGCCTGGTGGGCGTGGAGCTTGGGCTCAGCAGAGGGGAGCTCTGTTGTCACTGTGCTAATATCTTCCCTCAAAGAGTCAAACTTAGGGCTCAGATGGCCACTTTCCCATTACAAATCCAGGTGCTTTGAACAAGCAAACATAGTGTATGTAAGCGGAAACCTTTCAATTGTCTTTTTATATTGTTCTTATGTGCCTTAGAGTCAGAACTGACTCATAACTGGGTTTTCAGAGACGTTGCAGAGGAAACTGTTCTTTGTTCTGAGAAGCAGCAAGTGAACTCGAACCATCTGCATTTGTATTGGCAGCACAACTCCTTATCACTTTACACAGTGTGTGATTGGTTTCTGTCCTGTTTGCCCATTTTTGTTTCCCGTATCACTTTATTAGGCGGCAGAACCAAAGACTGATCCACATGCAGTTAATTTCCTGCAAAAAAGTAATTCAGACACTTTGAAAATGTGTGAGAAGTTACTTACACTTTATTTGCTAAACGTTACCCAAATTGCTGGTATTAGTGGTATTTATTGGCTGTTGCCATGTGGTATCTGTGTTAGCATGTATGCTTATGAAGAGTCAGTGATATGTTGTACTTTTTTTTAGCCCAACTCTTAGCCAGGTACCAGTTTTATGGTTTGGTTTTTAGCCTGCAGGGAGATTTTTGTTTTGTTTTTGTTTACTTTCTTGCTTTGGGGTTTTGTTAGAGTATTGCTTATTTATTTATATACAAGCTATTGTACCCCCCCAAAAAAAATCAAATCCATTTCCATCCAGTCTGTTCCATTTCTTAGGGAACCCAAGTCTGTCAGAGCAGAACTTAGGTTTGCAATGCTAATTCCTCCAAGTAGATCCATGCCTTTCTTCTGAGCTTCCTTATGGGGGATCTGAACTTCCAACCCTTCTGTGAGTAGGTAACATTGTTAACCATTTGCATTACCCAGGAATTCCTACAAAGGTATTATGTTGTTGTTGTTATGTGCCTTTGAGTTGCTTGTGACTCATAGCGATCCTATGTACAAGAGCCCTAAATGCCGTTCTATCCTGTGGAATTAATCTGTCTCATCAAGGGTCTTCCTCTCCTGCGCCATCCCTCCACTTTTCCAAACATGATGTCCCTCTCCAAGGACAAGTCCCTCCTTACAACATGCCCACAGTATGTCAGACGAAGCTTCAGAATCCTTGACTCCAAGGAGTATTCTGGCTTCACCCTCTCCAGGACAAACCTGTTTGTTCTCCAAGCAGTCCATGGTATATTCAATACTTATACAAATATTAAAATATTAATAATACTTATACAGATATTAAAATATTAAAATGATCAGTTTATTTGAAAAAGACATAGTATGAAGTAAACAGAACTTCAGAGGGTAGCCCAGGTAGAAACATTAAAGTGTGAGGAAACAAATAGGGAACTTTTAAATAATCTTCCAAACTCAGGTCAAGTCAGATAAGCTTGTCCCAGACAAGCACCCCACATCCTGGCACCCTACTCCTGTCACCCCAGGCTCCACTGGAATCCAGTCTGAGCTGTCATTCTTATAGCCACTGTGGCAAAAATAATCCTGAATGGGAAATTTCCTGATGCAGACTCCATGCTACCACTTCAGGCAGACAGCCTGGAACTCAGTTTAAAATGGGGCAGTCTACTCTTTGTAGTGTCGTTTTGTTCAGCAAATATCCTCATTTCCTTCCATACAACTGCCTCTCCCACCTACTTTATTGGCACCTTAGTGAAGGAGAAAGACAGTCGTGATTCAAAGAGCCAAGGACTGAGTCCCCACATCCCTGCCCAGGCAAGCACTTCTCCCTTGGGTCTCAGAAGGCCCCCGCAGCCCAGCGTAAACCTTCTAGACCTATGTCCTGCCCTCAACACCAGCTTCAACTGAAACCTGGTTTCGTCTGCTTGCTTTCAAGTTGTCACAGAGTTGATTCTAGTGCATGCCAGCTCCATGCATGTCAGAGTAGAGCTGTGCTTCATAGCATTTTCAGTGTCTGTCTTTTCAGAAATTGACTACCAGGACTATCTATCCTGAGGCTCCTCTGGGTAGACTCAAACCTTCAGCCTTTCAGTAAGCAGGTGAATGTCCTCATATTTAAACACTAAAACTCCAGAAATGTGTTAGAATGCCAAAACCTCATTCTGGGACCCAGCAGTCTCTGCCCTGGGTTATTATCCTGTATTGTGCACAACCATTCTTTCAGTGTGCCTTTTATCAATAAGTGAAATTTTTAAGAAAATAAAATTATATGGGGTTCACTTGCCCACTGCCAATGAGTCAGATCCAACTTGTGGTTGACCTTTTCACAGGCTGTAAATCACATGAGAAGACCTTGCCCTTCTCTCTCCCATAGATCCACTTGTGAATTTTTACCACTGGAGAAACACACCCTTGAGTTAGCAGCACCACTCTATGTGGCCTAGGCCACCAGAACTCCCTGTGCACAGGGGCTACGAACTTCTCATTTTGGCCAATAAAGTTATTATAAAAACAAAATCTAACTAAAATTTAATATCATAATACTTTCTTAAAAGAAAGGACCTTAATCTTCAAGAAAGTGAAAAGAACTTAATTTTGCGATATAGTTCCTTTTTGCTGAAGGAAATGATCTTTCTAGAAAATGCATGGCAGGGTCCTCATTGTCCTCCATCTGCTGTTAATTCATGAACATTCCCCTAATGGAACAAGACCAGCCCACAGGCCTATCGTTTGGAATCACTTGTTGTTCTGGAATGAAGTGAAAACAGAGATTGAGATTGGTTGCAGCAGCCAACAGCTCTGTTCCTCCCCTGTAGCCTCTCTCTGAGACCAGTCAGTGCATGGAAGGGTGGACTGAGCAGAAAAGCAAACCTTGAACATTGCTTCCCCATGGGACCCAGAGGAGCTGAGCTCCCACTCACTGGAGATACTGCTTACCCCTTATTTATAGAGATATATTCCATTTCTTGACTCATTCATCAGCGTTAGATGGTTTTAAAAAATATGCTTTGCTTTCTTTTATATGGTGCATGTCCATGTTTGCTGCTCTTTGTTTAGAAAATCTGTCACTGTGCTCCTAGAATGAGTTCTGGCACTGTAGTCCGCAGGCAGGAACACTGCTCACCTAAAGTTCATGACTCTCCAGCAGCTCAGATCTAGCAGCAGCTCCTTGAGAGGAAGATTGGCAGAGTCTTCCCGTGTGATTTGCAGCCTCTAAAAACCTGCTGGAGGGTAAACTATGTGTGGGTTCTGACTCGACAGCAATGAGAGAAAGAGAGGCTCAAGAAAGAAGAGAGGCTCAAGGGCTGAGCCGTAGCTGGGCCTTGTGTGAGGGTGGTTTCAAGGTCTTTTTCAAGCTGATGCTTCACCCCATACTTAAGACCTTCACTGTAATACTCCGGGGGTCTTAGTGCCAGGAGATCTAAGCACAGGGTTCAGCTTGCTGGAGTGCAACAGGAGAAGAGGAAGGCCAGAACTGCCCATTTCCAAATGGCCTTGCTTGTGGCCACCAGTGATGCTGGCTCTGGAGAAGGGTTCACTGCAATTAAACCAAGAATACATGATTGCTGGGTGAACATGTGGGAGGTAGGTATAGATAGGAGTGTGGGGGTGACCTTATAGGCGTGGGGGAAGCTATAGGAGTGTGCGTAGAGATGTGTTGGAGGAAGGTACAGGAGCATGTCAGTGAGTGTACAGGTGTGTTGGGAGGTGGTATACAGTGTGGGAGTGAGTGTATAGGTGTTGAGGAGTAGGTACAGGAGTGTGTGAGTGAATATATACGTGTATTGGATATATATAGGTACAAGAGTGTGTGTGAGTGTATAGGTGTGTGGTGGGTAGGTATAGGAGTGTGTGTGTGTGAGTGTATAGGTGTGTTGGGCATAGGTACAGGAAGGTGTGTGTGAGTGTATAGGTACATGAGTGTGTGTATGTCAGTGTATAGGTGTGAGAGGTATAATACAGGAGTGTATGTGTGTAGGTGTATTGGGGGTAGGTATGGGGGGTGAGTGTGTAAGTATGGGGGTGTACATACAGGAGGGTGTGTGTGAGTATATGGCTGCATTGTTTGTATGTACAGGAGGTGGGTGTGAGTGTATAGGTATGTTGGTGGTTATGTACAGTAGTGTGTGTTTCAGTGTACAGGTGTGTTAGGTTAGATACAGGAGATTGTGTAAATGTATAGGTGTGTTGGTGTGAGTGTATCAGTATGTTGGTGTGCAGGTACAGGAAGGTTGTGTGAGTGTATAGTTGTGTTGGTGTGTAAGTACAGGAAGATGTATGTGAGTGTATAGGTGTGTTGGGGGGTAGCTACAGGAGGGTGTGTGTCAGTATGTTGTAGATTTGTTGGGGATAGGTACAAGAGGGTGTGTTTGAGTATATAGGTGTGTTGGCGTAGGTACAAGAGATTGTGTGAGTATATAGGTGTGGGGGGTGAACATATAGGAGGCAGTGTGTGAGTATATAGATGTGTTGGTAGATAGGTATAGGAGGGTGTGTGTGAGTGTATAGGTGTGTTGGTGGATAGGTACAGGAATGTCTAGGTGACAGCACATTAGTGTGAACATGTGCTCCACGGTGGAGTCAGTGTCCATACACCTAAGTAAAATGAAGCTATATTGTGCCTGAGAAGTAAACGCCCTGGCCTGGAAGGACTCGTTGACTGCGTCATGCCTGACACTTGTTTCACATCTAATTCTACTTCTGTCTTCTGCCTGGACCAAACCAGCCACCCTCCATGAGTACATCAAGTCAGAAACCGCATGGCACTGGAAAAATGAGATGTTGCTTTAATTAATGTTAAATGTCATCACTCTGTCTGGCCATGGCCCGTTGCCTTCTCTTGAGACCACAGGATATTGTCATCT